CTTAAAGAATAAAAGGAAAAATTAATTCAAGCCTCTAGTGCCAGATTTGGAAATGTGGTGGGGAGAGGTATGTGTAAAATATTGAATGATACAGAAAGTATCAAAAGAAGATGGAAAGAATACACAGAGTCACTGTACCAAAAAGAACTAGTCAATATTCAACCATCTCAAGAGGTGGTATATGAGCAAAAACCAGTTGTACTAAGAAAGTCCTAGCTGCACTGAAAACGTTATCCAAAAACAAGGCTACAGGAATTCAATTGGAATACTCATTGAAATGTTTGAACCAGCTTAGGAAGCACTGGAAGCTCTTACGTGACCATGGTAGGAAATGTGGAAGACAGTTAACTGGCCGATGGACTCAAAGAGATCCATTAGTGTTTCCATTCTAAAAAGTCAACCCATCAGAATGCGTAGATTACATGAGTACAACAATATCATTAATAACACTTGCAAGTAAACTTTTCCTGAAAACCACCCAACAGTATCTAGACAGGGAGCCACCAGAGGTTCAGGCTGGATTCTGAAGAGAATGTGGAAAAAGGATATCATTGCTGATGTCAGGTGAATCTTGGCTGGAAGTACAGAATGCCAAAAAGATGTTTACTTGAGTTTCATTGACAATGTAAAGGCATTTGACTGTGTCGATCACAATAATTTATAGATAACCTTAAGAATAATGGGTATTCCAGAACATGTCATTGTACTTACATGGAACTTGTACATGGATCAAGATGCAGTTGTGAGAACAGAACAAGGGATACTACATGGTTCACAATCAGGAAAGATGTGTCAGGGTTGTATTCTCTCACCATACTTACTCAACCTATCTGCTGAGCAAATAGAGAAGCTGCGTTATATGGAAAAGCAGACAGCATCAGAGTTGGAGGAAGGCTTATAGAAAATGAGGACTGGAAGCACTTGCTGATGAAGATCAAGATTGCAGCCATCAGTATAGATTAAGACTCAATTAAGGCCTAATCCTCAGTTGGACCAATAGGTAACATGATAAATGGAGAAAAGAATGAAGTTATCAAGAATTTTGTCTTTCAAATGATGATGGCAACAAACGTACAAACGTACTTGACATAAGGGATGGAGAACGGATTATGATCACAGTTGTATGAGCCCCAAGTAGAATGATTTTTAAAAATTGTCTTTTTTGAATATACAACCAATGATCCTGCAAGCAGCAGTTAAGAATTCACATGACAAATTGCACTGGGTCAATGTGCTGCACAAGACTTTGTTAAAAGGTGCTGTATCATTTTCTTGTAGATAGGGTTGTAACAAACAACACAACTGTGTACTTTCTTAAGAATTACATGGTCTTGCAAAATGCCTATACATATCTTACAATAATATAATAGAAGATACCAAAATACTACAAATATCTAATACAACCTCAATTAATAGTACATTCTTATGAAAAAATTTCAGGACATTCTGTACATTTCAAGAAACAATGTTTAAGTGGCAGAACAAAGAGCTGGGCGTGAGAGTGAAACATTACTGTGCGCTTCTCCAGCCCGCTCCTGCATGCGGCTGGATCGATCGCCTTCCTTCTCTTTGATTCCAGATGAACGACAACCAGCAGTTGAGGCTTGGATGGCTTCCCATTAGCTTTTAAGACCCCAGACACTCATTACACCAGGAGGTAGCACATAAAGTTCACGAACTTTTCTTTTCCTGTGACTAAATTGTTTCATGAGATTGTGGCCCTAACTACAGAAACCAAGAGAACTAATCCTATGAGGTGATTAGTTATGGCTAATTATTATCTGCATCTGAAGCCCACTTGTCTTTTTTTTTTTTTTGGTTGCTGTTGCAAAACCATGCAGAATCTAGCATTTGCCCAGTCATCCCTTTTTCCATAGCCTTAGTTATATCAGTCATACTGTAACAATTTCACTCATGTCCAGTGCCATCTTTCCTATTTCTGTAAGTAAAAAGTGACTATTACCGAAGAGTACTTCTCCTCTTCCTCCAACCCCCTGGGACTCATTAATGAACACACAAACACACATACACATATTTTTTTGGGTATTTGCCTGGTTAGGTTATTTCAAAATATTAGAACGTGCAGTATTTGTTTATTTTTTAAGATTCATTTGTTTTGCTTTACATGACATTGTTTGGGAAACTTTTCTTTATCGCTGAGTATCTTCCATTGTATGTATGTATATCTCACTTCTGCCTTCACCTGTTGGTAGGCGCTCTGTTTGTTACTGTAAATCGTGCTGCAGTGAGCATAAGTGTGCATCCATATTTGTTCAATGGCTGATTTTTCAGCGCTTGATTGCCAGGACTTTTCTTTAAGTGCCCCTGGGTAGACCAGCAAGCTTTCAGTTGGCAACTGAATGTGTTACATTTGCAGCACTTCCTGAAGACAACCTTATACTAAACCACACTCACTGCGGTGGAGTCAATTCCGACTCATAGTCAATTCCGACTCTATAGGACAGGGTAGAACTGCCCCTAGGGGATTCCAATACTTTCACTCTTGATAGGAGTAGAAAATCTCAACTTTCTCCTGTGGAGCCGCCAGTGGTTTCAAACTGATGACCTTGTTGTTAGCAGCCCCCAAATAACCCACTATACAACCAGGGCTTCTTGAGGGCAGCTACTTTATTCTTTGCTTTGTGGTTTGTTTGTTTTTCACAGTGTTATTGGCATATACTTTACTATCATACAATTTAATCATTCCATTATATTCAAAAGATTTGGACAATAATCACCACAATCAAGTTCAGAACATGTTCTTCTTGTGCTCACTACTTTTGCTCCCTATTTCTTCTCATTCTTCTCTACTATGTCCCCAGGCAATTATAGACCCAGTTACTCCTTCTGTAGCTCTATCTATCTCGGATTTCACATTACAGAAAATCATACAGAACATAGGCAGGAAGCAAGCAAGCCAACAAAACCTAGCAACAATGACTAGACAAAACAGGTAAATTTTAATCAAAAAGAGAGTCGATAATATTAAAAACTGAAACAACTTCAAAGTAGGTAAAAAAGGAGATCAAATGATAAGGCCTTACAACTTTATCTAACTACCGTTTCTATTCAAGAATAAGCTGAGTTTTTCAGCACATTTTTAAAATGCAGGTTTTGTGGTAAAATTAGGTTCCTCGGCTCATATTTGGGTTGGCTTATACTCGAGTATATAGGTATATCTGCCAACAACAGAACAAGGAAATACTGCATGATTTAAAATCAGAAGTATGCGGCATGGTTGTATCCTCTGACCATACTTCTTCAATCTGTAGGCTCAGCAAATAATCAGAGAAGCCGCAGAAGAATATGACATCAGGATTGGAGGAAGGCGCACGAACAACCTGCGATATACAGATGACACAGTCTTGCGTGCTGAAAGTGAGGAGGGCTTGAAGCACCTCCTGACAAAGATCAAGTGTTTCATCCCTTAGTATGTGGAGACCAAAATTCTCACAACTTTAACAATAGGTAGCATCGTGATAAATGTAGAAAAGATTGAAATTGTCAAGGATTTTGCCTTGCTTGAGTATACAATGGAGGCTCATGGAAGCAGCAGTCAAGAGATCAAAAGATGCATTAAGTTAGGTAAATCTGCTGCAGGAGACCTCTATGAGTATTGAAAAGCAATGGTGTTACTTCCTTTAAGGACTACGGTGCACCTGACTCAAGCCACGGTATTTGCCATGGCCTCATATTGCATGCGAAAGTTGAATATTGAATAAGGAAGGGCAAAGAAGATGCATTTGAATTGTATTGCTGAAGAATATTGAAAACCCTTTGGACTGATAAAAGGACAAGCCAATCTTTCTGGGAAGAAGTACAGCCAGAGTGCTCCTGAGAGGCAAAGATGGTAAGGCTTCACCTTACATACTTTGGACATGTTATCTGGAGAGGCCAGTCTCTGGAGAAGGTATATCATGCATGGTAATGTTGAGGGGCAGTGGAAAAGAGGATGACTGTTGCGTCCCGGCCTGCGGGACGCACGAGCAAGGCCCTGCGGGGAAAGGCAAACCTGGATGGAGAAAAGACACGGAGACGTGGAGCAAGACAAAACTCTGATCAAGCTCATTTATTTGGGCAAAGCTGGGGTATAAAAAAGGGGGAACTGGGAGGTGCATATTTTAATAAGGTGTGCGACACAGCATCCAATCCAACATGTACATTAATGAAGCTCCAATGAGCGCCTGGCATTATTAACCAGTGGGTGAAAAGGTCGACTTTACAACTGCCCGTGCTACAGAGCACGTAGCTAGGAACATGGAGGCAGGGTTGGGCAGGGATTTCAGGCAGGGCCAGTTCCCACAGATTTAGCAAATGAAAGACACACTTAACAACCAGGAAGCAGCCAAGTTCGGCTGGTGGCTGAGGCTAAGGCCTTCATGGCCACCGGCTCCCAACAGATGACCCTTAATGAGATGGACCCAAATCCATTAAACGGATCCTATGGAATGAGAGAGGGTGACTATCATGAGACAGGGGTTGAGAACCTAGAGATGGACATTGAATCAGTGATTTCCAAGAAAGTCTATTGATTTTCTTGGGTATCAAGTTGGGCATCCCCAGATGAGTCAGAAACATTAAGGCAGTGCCTAGTCATGGTGGTAACTCTCCTGGGCTATTTCATCTGTGGAGGAACAGAGGGAAGCTCAGAGTCATAAGGGTAGGTTTGGGGTTTACATGAGAGGATATAGGTCCCATGTTGAAGGCCATTAAGACTCAGCCTTGAAATGGCTGAGAAGATATCAACCCAGGTGTCAGTATCTGCTGTTTGCTTCTGCGGTTTGACATTGAGACTAAGAAGAAGAACAAGGACGTATGCGAGTTCTGGGAAATCAGGATGGTTAATTTTCTCAAGGATGCTTGGTTTGGAAAAACAGAGTTGTTGGTGTGTATCCAATGTGCTTGCTTAACAATGAGAAAAATTAACCCTGGGTTGTTTCTGCATGTATAAAAGGAAGATGTAGAATAACCTCGGGGCTTCAGTATTCACTGTTGCCCTCCCAATACTTTCTGTCTCTCTTTTGTTCCTTAATCCTCACACCCCCTTTCAGGACCGTTCGACTCGTCGGCAGGCTCCGACAGTCCCACATCTATAATGGCTCCGCTAAAGAAGCAATGAGGGAACGAAACTCTGAAGTTATGGGGAAAATGAAATGAGAGGTGTAGTCAAGATTTAAGCTTTCACTTGCTGGATTTCAGAAATGAAGAAGCTACTCCCAAGGATATCAGGCTATAGAAAGGTAAATACATTGCTAGTAGTATTTCGTGTTTTTCTTTCACTTTTTCTTTGCTACTTTCATCTCTGAACCTCAAGAGTGTTGCTTCTCTAATGCATTTAATTACTTATAGGTAATTTATAATGTGAAGTAATAGAGATTTCTCAAATTTTAAATAGAAATATATATACATCTAATTTTCACTAACCATTAACTTTAAGTCATTAGGAAGTTATTCTAACCTTTAAAATGGATAATAGAGGCATGTGACAGGTTGCAAAGAACTTGCCTAAATTAACTGTGTGCTTGACCTCTGTGCTAATGGGATGTCATATGAATCATAGATCTGTAGATTAACAACATGTGAGCATGACACTAAAGAATCACTCTACATTTTCAATTAACTTGACAAGAACATAAATATGTTATATATTTCTCATCTGCCCACTCGCCCCTGCCATTAACTCTGTTCTGACTTACAGCAACCCTGCAGGACAGAGTCGAGCTCCCCCAAGACTTTCAGAGATGGTAAAGCTTTGCAGAAGTAGACAGCCTCATCGTTCTCCCATGGAGTAGTTGGTGGGCTTGAACCACCAATCTGGCTCTTAACCACCCGATACTTAGCCCACTGTGCACCCACAGTATATACAAATACACAGGGAAAGCAATTCCATTTTCATAAATTAACAAAATACAACAATTACCTAAGGAGAATAAACCATAGCAATCATAATTAAACATGACAGAATACCTGGGCTATTAAACCCATGGATTTCCTTTCATTTTCATTTAAAAAAGGGCAAAAGCAAAATATAGCTCTAATTCTTCATCTGATACTGAAAAGTCTGCTGCAAACATGCCTACCACAACCATCAGTGAATCTTAACTCGGAAGACCCTCCTCTGAGGAAGAAGGGCAGTCAACTTTCTCCCCCCTCCGGGCACTCATTAAAAGTGAAAACCTTAAAAAGATTTAGGCTCTACTATTTAAACTAACAGTGTAGCTATTAATGCTGATTCTCCAGTCATACATAAGTACTGCTAAGTCTTATCTGAATGCTTTTCCACGACCACCGTGCAATAAACTAAGCACGTTTCGGTGTGACGACCTTAGCATCCCTTTAGTTACACTTACCGACATCCTCCCAAGACACAGCGCGAAGCAGGAAAGCAGCTTTTCTCTCTGTGATTCAAATACAAGCTGTCTCTTTTCTGATTTCAAAAGCAATCGATGCTTTTCTGGGGGTGGGAGCGGGAAGAAGGTCAAATGATGCTAAATGAAAAAGCAGAATGAAAAAGTATGTATGTTTCTACTTTGCAAAACTCGCTATTTATTAAATGTCTACCATGTGTTATTCACATACAGCTAGAGATGAGCTACCCGGTAAACAAGGTAATGTCTTGCTTAGGGCAGCAACACACCCAGGGTCACCAATTGTCCAAAGACCATAGATGCTTAAGTAGACAGGGCACAAGGAAATGGCGAACCCTAGGGGAAGGGAACTGATGGGGCATGAAATGAAATTGATACCATTGTATACATTTTGTACATGAGAGCGATGACATTTTCATTTTGATTTTGGACTTATAGGGTCTTGCCTTACATTTAGTTCTGTCTTGTTGACCCAATAAAACAGAATTACAATACTATACTCAGTTCCTGACATAGCTGGTACTATATGAAGTGAATCAAAACGTGGCTTCAGATTAAATATATTCTGTTATTTATATCATACTCCTTAAAACCACTCTCATCGCTAGGAGGTGTCAGCAGTCGCCCAATGAACTGTGAGGACTCAGCAGCAAAGGAAGGAAAGGGAGTGAGGAGTGGTTGTGTTTTTTTCAAACAATGAAGAGCATTCATGGAGATCTGTGAAGGGTCCACAAACAAGCACTTTATGAAAAATAAAGAATGATCCTGCTTGAGCATGTGTATCATTTAATAGTTTTTTTCCCCCTAGTATTTCTGAGATGCTGAGCTACTTGATAACCAGTATTTGGTGGTATTTATGTTGCTGTGTCTCTAAACTTTACAAACCCCCCTCTTGCATTTTGGGAATGCCCTGCTAATGATAGGGAAAATGCAAGGATGGGGTAGTTGAGAAGGTCAAGTTAAAGACCTCTTCTCTTCTTCAAAGGAGAATCTGTCAGGGTCTGGGCCAGTGTTGTGGGAACAGGAAAGTGGAAGTGACCATACACTTGAGAATATAGAATTACTTACACATGGTGCCCTTGATGATCTGTCGAAAGGCAATAAGGTACGTGTGTTAGTCTGGGTACTTTAGAGAAACAAATCCACAGAAACTCATGTATAAGAGAGAGTTTGATAGAAAGGGTAAGTGCACATCAAGAAAACATCCCAACCCTGTGCTGCCTAAGCCCACAAGTACAACATTAACCCATATCTCCAACACCAATCCACAAAGTCCTCCTCCATCTCATAAAACTCACGCTATGATGCTGACTGCAGGAGGAAAGCTGAGTCAGTGAATGTGTAAGCGTCTCAGGGCTGGCAGGGGTCTCCACACGGCTGCTCCAGCACCCAGGGCTGCATCGGGGTAGGTCCATGTGGCTTCTCCTTGGGGATGTCTTGCAGGAAGTGAGCCTTACCAGCTGAAGCAAGGAACTGGCTAAGGCAGCTGCACCCTGATCCAACCATCAGAAAGCAAGAGAACTAGGAAGGCAAGGCTCACCAAGCCATTTATCCCTCCACCCTTCAATTAACCCCACATGTGTTTATTGGCCAGGTTGGCACCATAAACTAACTAGCTCAGTAGGAGTGTGGTTTTTGAGTGGCCCTGAGTATTGTCTGGGTTCTAGGCTCTAAGCAATTATAAAGTCATGGCAGGCCTCTCTCAGGTGGGAGAGCATATGTTTAGGTCCTCACAGAGTACAAGTTCAACATTCGGAATGCAGAGACAGCATATAGACAGAATTGGGCTACCAGGTCTGGGCTGCCAAGGATACCACAAGATGGCCTGATACTAAGGTGCTGCCGGACTCTGAGAACGTTTCATCTTCTTCTAATGAAAGCCAAGCCTGGAGGAGACCTAGGTCTGCGGGAGAGGGAGAAAGGAGGCAGGGCATGGAATTAAAGAAACGAAAACATGAGGACAGAAGTAAATTTGGAGAATGAGATAGGGAACACTATCAGGAGTGTGGGGTTCAGCATAGAATACTGAGTTATAAAGCCACAGGTGTGCTGGGATGAAGTGGGGAGAACCTTGATGTGGATTTTGTTTTATCTCCCAGAGGAGATTTTGGCAAGGTTTGAACAGGTACAACCCAAACCCAAGCTCAGTGCTATCAAGTTGATAATGACTCACAGCGCCCCTCCCTCCATGAGTATCTGAGACTGTACTTCTTTATGGGAGTACAAAGCCCTGTCTGTTTCCCACAGAATGGCTGGAAGTTTCAAACTGCTAACCTTGCAGATCACAGCCCAACACATAACCACTATACCCCCAGGGTTCCTTTGAGCAGGTAAGACTCAAAGCAAAAGCAATGTGTTAGCAAGATTTACATCTTCATCTTGGGAGAGTGAAGTAGAAAAGTTGAAAACCCAGTGGGATGGTAATAATTAGGCCTAAAGACACTGCTGTGTTTTCCTCTGACCTAGAATCTGACAGGGAAAACCAAAACCTGCCTCTCTGACTTCTTTGGAGCCCCCAGTGCCTACCCCTGCTCTCTGTGATGTGTACTTTGACTGAACTGAATGTACACAAGGCAGCTGCAAAAGATACCGAATATCACCATGGTGTGCTTCTCAATTACTATCCATTGTTCACAATGCTTAACGCATATAACTCTCACACCAAGGCTGGGAGGGCAGTGCATTTATAATCAAGCCTAGTTGAATGACAAGAAACTATGCAAATTACACAGACAGTATCAGAACCTGAATTTGAACCCATGTTGACTGGTGACTGAGCTTATCATTGCATGTCCCTGCCTGGAGGGGACACAACTGGGAGACAGTACATACATTCATGGGTTTTCAAAGTGGTGTCTGTAAAAGAGAAAATATCTTGCCACCTGTTGGAGGCAAGACAACAGGTATGTATGTGGCCTATAAGCAGAGGAAAGGAGAGACAATGCAATCCATCCCTTTCCTTTATCTTCACCCTTCATACACATGATAGCACAGAGTAAGCCTAGGCTTGAATGCAGAAGTAGTGCCCACAGTGTTGGAGGAGGGAGAGTGACCTCGCATTGGCCTCTCAAACCAATCACTGAAGATGAAACTTCTCCTTCTCATCGATGCTACTCACATCACAATAACAAGTCCACATCGAATTAAAACAATGACCATTGCCAGCGTGTTCACTCTATCTCACCATTTTCATGAAGCAATTCCTTTTGACCGAACTGTGGCACTTGGCAGCACCACTAAGGAGGGGACACAACTTATATAGCCAGCCCTTCACACTGCCACTCTCGCCTTTAGGGAATTCACGAAAGAGTGTGCCACAGCGGATCTGAAAACTGGTAATTAAGTTATCTATACAGAGGAGATGGGGGACTTCTGAGACACAGTAAACTTTCAATTAAGACAAAAAGTCTTTGTTCTTTGTAATATGACTCTATAATTTGGTTATTATTTTTGCTGACTTCCACAAATAGCCTCATTGAGGAATTGACTCTAGACAGGACCACTTAGTAAAATTTAAAACACCCTTATGTATTTACCTTAGACTGAGAACCCACCCTGCACCCGTTTGTTTTTTTTTTAAGGTGGGCGTGCAGACATAACAATGTGTGAATAAAATTGGGATTGGCTTTGACAGCACAGCGTCAAAGCGGCTCAAAACGGCACATCTGACCCATGTTTTACATTCACTTCCCGGCTGCCTGCAGCCTTCCTTCGCTATGGAGAAGCCGTGCTGCGCTCCCGTGCCAGGTGCAGATGACCCAGTAAGCAAGGTAAACATGGCAGCCCGTGCGTCTCTGCTTTCAGAGGACTCCATTCCTATCAAAGACTGTAACTTTCAAAGAAGCTTTAGCCTGTAGGAAGGCGCTGTGGTTGGGAGACAGATGTCAGCCATACCTACAAGTAGAGTCTGTGAAATAGTGGGGTAAAATGCAAAATGGATACAGATCAGTAAGCAAACACGAGTAAACCCATATTTATCTTACTTACTTACTGAGGCATGCAGCATTGCCCACCGTGGACAGCCCTTACGGGATCATAGGGATCAGATTGCAGCCCTCTGGTCAAGACAGAAGTGTGCTGGCATCGGCTGCCTCCCTTCTCCTTTTGAATCCCCCTTCTCATGTCACTGGTTGTTGACACTGCGCACATACAGTTTTATCTCTGGCACATTTCTAAGGACTGAGCTTCTTTTAATCCTTCTACATACATTGGATTTTCCTGCGCGTACAGGCTTGGCAATAACTTAATAAGGCTTGCTTCCTTTCTCATCAGTTTTTTCATTATTCAGCTTATCTAGCTCAGCATTTTTTAGACTTCTAGCTTTTGTCCTGCTCCTTAGAATTGTCAACCAATTTGGATTTCAATTCTCTCAGAACCCACGTTCTGTTGGTTGCTTTATTGTTCCTTGCAAGGATTCCCTCATCGAAATCCCTCCTAATCCTCCACCCACCTGGTGAGAGTCCTTAGAAATGCATCATTTGTGGCCCTGGAGAACATTGGGAAGTTAGTTTATCACAAAAGGACACTACTGGACGAGGATAAAAACCAAGACACAGACTTGCGGACCCAAGGCAACAGATTTTGGAGGTCCCCAGGGAGGGAAGGCGCAGATGGGCAGGTGAACCCACAGACTGGAAGGCTGAAGCACAGATTTGGGGGTACAGGAGGATAGAGGGTCATGAGAGCGAGAAATCGAGGAAGGGAGGTGCTGGGCTGGAGGACAGGGGTTGGGGCTGCTGGGTGGTTGCAGAACTGATCGTCTGAAGAGTGAGCCCCTCATCTTTTTCATAATAAACACGCATTAAAAAAACACTCTAAGAACATAACCAAAATTTGACTATCAATTCTTGGATGCCTTTTTATTATATGATCTTTGAAATAAGATATTGATTGATTTGTTCAATTATCTTACTAAAGATAAATGAAAAGTAGGGATGGACTAAGTAGTATTTGCTTTAAATGTGTGATTATTAAACTAACTCAGCTAACATTTTCAAGACACCTAGCACAGTGTTCGACAGCAATGTAATGATAATAATCCAATTAATATAAGTGTTAGTTACTACTTAAGAAAGTGGAACATCCTTCAAAAGACATTGATCAAATATTAATTTTTTTATTGAAAAACCACCTGATTTAATCTAATCGATTTTTAGGGCATTTGACAACAGCAGCATGTTCCATAGAAGGAATTATAGACTAAAACTCTGGAATTTCTCAAGGAAACTGTTTGTGAAAATGCAGAGTTCTGGGCCGTACTGGCTGCATTAGAAGCCTGCGGAGAACGGAGCTTAGGAATCTACACTTATAACATTTCTCAGTGTTTATCATGCCTCCTGACATTTGAAAAACTCTAATCTAGAGCCTAGAGAGAACAATTTTATATTACTGTAGCTAGAATCTATATTAAATTTTAAAGAGACCAGAAATGCCTAAAGAGAATGACTGCCCACAGCATTATTGCAGTGGCTTCAGTGACGTGGTGATTAAGTACTCAGTTACTACCCTAAGATGGACAGTTCAAGCCCCCCCACCCCTCTGCAGGAGAAAGATGCGACAAGCTGCTTGCATAGGACATTCAGCCTCAGGAACCCTCTGGTGCAGTTCTAGTCTGTCCTGTGCAGTTGACAGAGGGTTGCTGTGGGCCAGAATGAACTCTAATGGCAAGAAGGTGGGGGGGTTTAACAGTCCATTGCATTCCCATCTACTGTATTCAGACCCATAGAGATCCTTATGTAGGTTTTTCAGATGCTTGTAGATGTATGCGGGAGCC